GGGACGCCTGGCCCCGGACCCCGCTGGCGCCCGGCGAGATGCTCGCGGCGCAGAGCGCGCTGCCGGACAGGGAGGCGCAGGAGCCCGGCAGCCCAGAGGAAGACCAGGCGGGCCGGAGGGCGGCCAACGCGAGCTCAGAGCGGGGCGCCGCGGCCAGCACCCCCGACTACGGGGAGAAGAAGCTGCCCCAGGCGCTGATCATCGGGGTCAAGAAGGGGGGCACCCGCGCGCTGCTGGAGGCCATCCGAGTGCACCCGGACGTGCGCGCCGTGGGCGTGGAGCCGCACTTCTTCGACAGGAACTACGAGAAGGGGCTGGAGTGGTACAGGTAGGAGCCCTCGGGATGGGGGGGACAGACACCTGCGGCCGACGGAGGGGCAGCCGCGGCGTTCTGAGCCCTTCGCACACTGGCGCCGGCCTGAGGTGCTTCAGCCCCAGCAAGGGCTCTGCCGGTCCAGGTGGAGCTGCTCCAGAAGGTGTTTTCTGTATCCCACCAGCTCCAAGTCTGGGAATCCCCGGCCCCAGTACCTGCAGGGTGTTTCCTAAGCCAGGCTCTTTGGGGACATTGGGACTCTGCCTTGGGATGCAGAGAAAGGAGACAGGATAGCCAAATTAACGAAGGGGCTTTGAGATCCCCTTGAATCTATCAGAATCGCCCTCACACGCACTTGTGTGGCTGGAATCCAACTTCGGTATTTTAAAGTCAGAGCTAAATGAATAGAGAATTATTAAAAGGAGGATACTGGTTCTTTGGGTTTCTAATAAGGACTGGATCTTTTCCACCTCCATAACTTTCTGTTCCCCATGACTGAATGAATACCTGACTGGTTTTGCACCGAGAGCCTCACTGTCTAAGGAACAGTTGGTCACCTATGAGTGCTTATTCCCCGCATCCTGCACCCTGCTTTCTCATCTGTACCTCTCTGGGGACAGCTTATGTCTTCTGGGATGTTTCTGTCTCTGACCCAGTCTGGTGGTGGTAAGAGACGGGAAGCAGAAAGGATTGTGAAGTTGAGTGCAGGAAAACTAAATTAATAATCCTGTTTTCTTGCCAGACACAACGTTTCAAATAACATTGGTGCAGATGCTTAAGATGCAAACCTTCTTTGCTCTCATCCCTTTCCTTTCTGTCTTTCCTGTTTGGAATCTTCTGGAAAGCAGATGTGGATGGGTGGTCCCACTTCGATTGCGTTTCAATAATTAATTGCAATTGTCAAACAGGAACACAGCCTTTGTCAAGGAGAGGGATGTTACCTTCTTAACAGAGTCAGTAGGTAAAGTTGTTTCATGACAGATCCCCTTCTTCTTGAAGAGATGGGCTTTTTAGGTTTAGATTTTACAGCTTGGGAAAGTTTTAGAAATAACTTAAGAAATATATAACAAATATGTTATTGTGATTGATTTCTCCCACTTTTAAAAATATGCCTTATGTTCTAAAAGCCTGAGAGAAGTACACTTCGGCATAAACATTCCAGCACATTATCCTAAAACAGCAAACGTGTCTGTTAATGTCTTGTCTGTTTCAACAGCCAGAACTAATTGCAATATTTTAGGAGGCTTCAAACAGTCCCTTCCTATCAAAACATAAGACAGCAAATGCCTCATTTAACTGGAAAATCAGTATTTATAACATCACAAGCCATGGCTTCCAGTTTGCGATTATAATTAAAAAGGTGTTAAGATGATTAATGCAACAACAGCAAAATAGAGATGTCTGGAAAGGTGGTTCGGTTGTTTGTTGGCTGCAGAACATTCTGGTTCCTTCCCTGGAACAGCTTCGGTCTTAGAGGGTAGCGCTGGGGTTTTATTTCTAATTTTAAAGCTGTGTGTCTTGTGAGAACTATCTAGTGCCCTTCGAGGGAGGCATGAATACCAGCTCCTTCCAACATGTGTTGGGGTTGCCTTACTGTAGCTGGCAATAGAGAAAAATGACTTCTTAAAATGCATTGAACTAAAGTTGGCGAGGGGTGCTTGGGTCCCGCTGTGGTGTCTGGAGAATTTTCTGAATGACAGGCAAGAGCATGCCAGGTTTTCCTGTGTTCTTTTACCCCGAGGCTGGGAAGAGAAGGTACGTAAACCACTGTGCTGTCACAGTGTGGCTACTGGAGTTATCGCAGCACTGTGGCATGCCTAGCCTTCTGCTCATAGCCAACAGCTGAGGTATTTGGTAGCTAGCCCTAGGACTGCTAACCTCAAGCGATGAATGAGATGCACCTGGTCCTCACTTACGAGGACCATGTAACATCTCTGTGTTTTGAGTTCCTCTGCCGCACCTTGCACATGGTATCTTTACAGTGCTGGGGGCTGCAAGAGGTGGGGGAGACGCTCTTGACAGTATTCCTGATGACACATGTGTATCTTGTACAGAAGGGACCCTTAGCTCCCAAACCTGGCTGGCGTGAAGACACTAGATGCTCTTGGGACTTTCAGGGACCTCCTGTGCTCTAGCTGGCTCGAGGCATCTCCAGACTTGTCTCACACAGTGCTTTGAAGGCATTCAGAGATTTTCGATAGTCCTGTCTCTTCAGACCTTTGCTGTCTTCTTTCCTGTGGAGGAAGAAGGGAGGCAGAGAGCCCCTTTATTGTAGAAAAAGGAACAGGGGCATTGATTCCAACCAGGAACAGGAACCTTTCGTCTTGATTCCCAGGTCAGACTCTGAAAATGATGATGTGTGCCCTGAAACGGCAGTGTTTCTCCCCACTTTGGGTTTGTGGTCCAGGATCTTGGAGCCTTATCGGGAGCCACAGGATAAAGCTTTTGTTTCTCTCATATATTTGCTGTTGGCATTTTCAATGTGCCTTCCATAGCCTACTAGTTCCGCAAGTGTGTCAGGATGTTGGATGTTGGGGGGAGAGAGAGAGAGAGAGAGAGAGAGAGAGAGAGAGAGAGAGAGAACAGACAGACAGACAGACACACACACACAACCAGCCAGCAAGAGGAAATGGGGCTGGCTGCTGTCACACTGCTGGTTTGGGGGTCCCCTCTTTTTCCAATAAGAAGCCCCAGCAGTTTCCTCTTTTTCGTGTCATTCCAGTTATCTCTAACTCCGGGTTTTGTTTTGCTCCTCTGCTGTTGATCTAATGTGATGTAAAAACACATTTGAGATCAGAACATGTGCATTAGATTTGCAGGGCAACATTGACGAATGGATTAGGGTGTGTGTGTTAAGGCTTCAGAGAAGCCAGCCACCCTGGGTGGATTGACACAAGCCAAGGATTAATAACTCGGGGTAGATTAAGGTCTTCACCCCTGCCTTCCTGCCCTCTCCAAAAAAGAAAAAAAGAAAAAAGGGAAAAGCCACATCCAACTCTCAGTATGAGCTGCTACAAGCTTTCTAGGTACAGACTTTTAACTCTCCTTAGGGGCGGGACCTTGGGGCAGGCACCTGGCTGCCGCTGCAGCACTTGTCCATGTGACAGAGTCCAGGTGACAGAGACAGCAGGAGCGGGTTCCTCCCTCATGACTCACATGCTGTGTAGAAAGTGTAACCGTGTTAGCCTTGCAAGTCACTCAGCTCCAGATGAAGGGACACAGTCCTTCGTGGTTTAATCTTCACTGTCAACTGTTAGAGCCCCTGTTCCTGCTGCGAGGGGCAGGGACCCTGGACGCGGTGCACAGAAATCTTGCTTGAAAGAGGTCGGTGGTCAACAGCAATGTCACCATGCCACCTGGGAGAGGGAGAAGGGTGGTGGAGAAACACTGCCCATGCAGAGTGCCCACTGCTGGGGTGTTGGTGGGGCTGTCACAGGCAAGCGTCAGGCTGCCGCCAGCAGCGGCATTCTCCTGTGGTAGATGGCCCTTCCACTATGTCAAGAGAGTAAATGACTGGCTCAGGGCCGCTCTGGCGTTCAGTGTCTGAGCTGAGATTTGAACCTAAATCTGCCCAGTTTCAAAGTGCTTTGTTTTTTCACCTGCCCACACTGGTTGCCACCCATGAAATCCTAGGAAGGTCTGTTCTTCATCTGTTCATGCAACTGGTATTTCGTCAGTACTAACTGTCCACCCAGTACAAGCACTGAAGAAGGCAGAGAAAGCGCTCTTCTCCTGGGGTGCAAACTTTAGTCGGAGAGGTGGGGAGACAGGAAAAAAATAAAGACAGCCCCATGATACACAGTACAAATTCTGGTTCTGATGAAGTCCGTACAGGGAATTATGTAACCCATGGCCCGGTGTTCATTTGCCCATTAGGGCGGCTGCTGTCTGCGTGCAGCAATGGACTATTTATTGTACGTGAAATGTCCAGGTCGCGATGTGCTTTCAGTATAAAACCCCCCTCATGGCAAAGTGCTCGTGAATGCATGTATATTGACTCTTTTGTGACATGACAACGTTTTTTGAGTAGCTTGTAAGTTGAATCTGATGCATTATTAAATTAATTTTACTTTTCAAAGTGTCTTAAAATGAGGCTGCTAGGAAGTTTAAAAGTACACCTGTGAGTCAGGCCACGTTCCTGGTGGCCGGTGCGTGTGCGGCATGATGCTGTTTGAACTGCATCCCCTGGCCGTCTCGTGAACAGGAAGATTCTGACCCCGCCAGTCTGGGCAGAGCTTGAGATTTGGAATTTTTAAGAAGTTCCCTATGGTGTTGTTGCTGCTCATACCGGGCCTTCACTGTGAGAAGCCCAGGGCTAGGCGTTAACCCCTGCTACTGCTGGAAGGTAATTGGGGTGTGTGTGTGTGTGTGTGTGTGTGTGTATGTGGCTACCCATGAATTATTTTAAGCAGGAAATTAGAGAAAATCTGTCTCTAGAGGACAGCTGTGCGAAGCAGAAAGGTAAGAGCCCCCAGCGCAAAAATCTGATGTTCGAGGTTTGCAGGTGGAGGAAACAGCAAGGGCAGAGGTCCTGAGGTGGAAACACGATGTCTCTAGAGAGTGTTCACTCATTCTTCTCAAGTACTGTCTTTGTGTCTGGGTGCCCCTGGGTTCCAGCCTGGTGCCATAACTTCGTGGTTGGATAATCTTGGTTGGATAAATTAATCAACATCGATCAGCTTTGTTTACTTATCTGTAATTTCTTTCTGGTAGGGCTGTTGGGAGGAATATATGAAATACTGAAAGTGCATGTATTTCTGAACAAACTGGATGTCCTGCAGTAGAAATCCTAATGGACCTGACTCGGGGGTTTTTTCATTTCTCACATTATTTTGGTCTCCTGGCTTCTATTACAGATATGTCAATATTGACTGAGTTGTCTTACTTGGGATGGTTTGGGAAGAGCTCAATAGTGATCCGTTTGCATCTTGGATCTGCTTAATCTTTTAAACCAAAGGGCACAAACGGATGCCCAAGGGGCCCGTGCAGATCACGTATGCTTTTTTTTTTTTTTT